GCTGTAATGGATGCAGTTAGTCTCTGGGAAGTACCCAAAGCTGCCCATGATTCCTTAAGACAATTAAAAGCAAATTGTCCGGCTGAGCGATCCCAGAGCAAGGAAGATGCTCCCCAGACTATAATTCAAGGGGCTGAATGGCCCTCAAAAACTAAGAGCAGAAAGAAAAAGAAAAAAAAAAAACAAACCCGAAGATGAGGCAAATGATGGAACAGATGTGAGTGCTTTTGTTGGGAAGACTTGGAGGCTAGCGGGATGGCGATAGGCTAATTTGAGGCGAATAATACCAGGTTCCTTTCATATGCAGAATAGCACTTTGATCCAATGTGGATGAAAGTACTGAAAAGTGGAGAGGATGGCAGGGGGCCTTTTGTCTTTGACAAAAAAGGCATCTGCCAGGCTCTAACTCCCTTTTCCCCACCCCCTTAGCCTAGCAGGCTACTCCAACAATGCTAGCAAAGGGGACAAGTGTCTCCTGACAGCTGAAGAAATCTCCAGGAGGAGAATGAGGTTTGCAGCAATATGTATACTAGAGAGCTTAATCGATTTTTTCCACAGTACAAAAAAGGGAGAGGGTTGGGGGAAAACAGAGATCACAGTGAAAATGGGAGGTGGGAGATAAAAAAAAATCCCTTTCTAATAAACTTGTTACTTTTGTTCTCCGAATACATCTTTTCAGAAGATTCTTTGATGCTAGTATGAATACACTTAATGGAGCAGAGTAGGATAGAGTTGCTGGGGGGTGGTGTGTGAAATAAGGAAGAATAGTTTTGCCAGGAGGATGAATGTAGAATGATTTCTGTGGATTCCAACACAGGAAGGATCTTGGAAACAGTAAAATGGTGTAATGAAAGAGATACCTGCAAGACAGAGGCATACTTTCTGTACCACCTGCTGGAGGAACGCAGATCTACCCAAATTATTGGGTTTGATTCCTAAGCAAAATTGAAAATTTCTTTTTAACCTTTCATATTTGCTGTTTTCTTAACTGCCTGGAATTAGTAGCAATGAAAGGACTGCAGAATCGAATGGGGATTTCAGAAGGCAAGCAGTATTTTGCTAGCAAATATAGCAATTTCCGACCAGCTGCTGATCTGGTCCCTGCTTTTCATGCTCTGTTGACTTTCTTCAGATTTTCACATCTGGTAAACAAGACTGATACCAAATTTGCAGAGTTTGATTGCTGTGGTCTTCTTTAAGCATCACTTTGCACCTAATCTGATGTTTTCTTTGAGAGGTAATGACAGATAATGAGTTACCAACTTCTGAGCAAGACCCATCTCAGTAAATTACATCCTTTAAGAAAAGTAGGTTCAGGAATCTTCCCTTTTCTTGAGACCCTGACAATGTTTATCCATTACTATTTACTGAAGATAACCTTCTCACCAGGAAAGAGCTTTAAGCAACATCTGATACCAAAAGCAGTTCCTGCCCCTTTACCCTCACATCCCCTGTTCTTTCTGCTGAGTTTAAGTTACCCCAAGAAGGTAGGAGTGATAGAGATATTGAGAGGAGCTATCATATTGCTTTGAAAGGCTGTACACTCATGCTGATGGTAAATTGTAATCCTGTGTAGTTATTCAGTAGGTGTGCCATCATCCCCTCTCCAGCAGATGCCATTGTTCTGTTCAGACCAGCTGATGTGGAGAGTATGTTTGACAGTAGAATTTCCTATACTCCAGCTGTGCAAAGCCTGATGAATGAATTACTGTAACTCATTAGGGAGGACTAAATGTCAAGGACATTGATGCTCCCTTGATTTCTGCCTCTTTGTTTGTATCTTGACTTTTCTTGCTGGTACGGAAGGACTTGAGCTGCTGCTGCTGCTGCTGCTGTCCTCAAAGGAGTGGAGACCACCTCTGTCCCTCACAGCACTAAGGTGGATGCCCACTCTCTGGGTGGGGGACTTCAGGTAGTTTTTGTGTGGCTTCTCCCTCATGTACTATGTGCAGTGATAGGATGCAGGTCTAAGTCTGAGTGGGGAAAGATGTTGCTTGTGGTGAAATCTGAGCTGTCAGGGAACAGTCTGTAGGCCTCCATGACAAAGAAAAATGGCCGATGCATTGCTACACAAACCACCAATATGGCCATGGCATCCAAGGCAGGCTGCTGGATGCTCTGTCCCCAAGCAGTTGTGGTTCGGATGGGATGTAGGAGCCTTGAGCAGTGAGCTGGGACACTTTGTTATTCGAGATGAAACATGAACAACCTCATTGTAAAGGGTCTTTTGTGCTTTCCCGTTAGGGTAGGCAAGCCCTTCAGCTGCTGCCATCCTGAAATTTCTTCATATGTCCATATCAACTCTCACAACTCCAAACAGAAAGGTGTAGTCTTAGCAAAGGCCATAGAGCTGCCAAAACTGCCTCACTGGGGCAGTTTTTTGTCATACCAACAGTAAGATTAGAGATATGGAGGAAGAGGGGGTGAGTTGCCTTTATTCTTGTGAAATGTGTGCCGTGATCCTCCATAACTATAGGTCATCGTTGAAATTTATGCTGTGCTTTTGGGGCAGATTTATGTAGCTATTTGCAGCTTATTGTGTGCTCACAGGAAGGAAGATGCCTGTATGGCTTGGCCTGGCTGCTGCAGTCCAGGCCTGGTCTGTTTGGAGGCAAGGGAGGAGGGAAGAGATCTGTATGGACCTGAGGGTAGCATGCAGAGCAAGTGTACAGGCTGTAGGGGTATAGCAAAGGGAGGAAGATTGGATTTTTTCTCACGTCTCACCCAGCAGGCTGTGTTTTCTCCCCAGAAGCCAGTTACCCTCTGCTGGTTTGTGTTTGGATGAAAATCAAACAGTAAAGATTGCAAAGACTCTTTGATGTGCTTAGTCCACATTGAGGCAGAGCAACCTGACTAGCTCAGGAGGCTGCTGCATTTCCTGACTGCTATCTGGACAGGGAATGTCTGGTTATAGTTTCAAAGTCTGGAAAAGGACATACAGCTTTAATGGTAAATAATCAAGCAGATGGTGTCCAATAGCTTGAAAATAGGCTATTCCTGTGGAAATGCTTTCAATGGATTGGCATATTGTACACATGACATTTTCCTGGCATGACCTAGCAGTCATGGCTGTAGAAATCCCATATTTTCAGCATGGATTTGGCCTGTCTCTCAGTGAATGTTGTCTGGTCAATAGCATCCACTATTCTCTGAAGCCAAACAAATGGAAAATGATTACTTTAGAGTATTATAAACCCCAGCCTGCATTCAAACCTTTGTTCAGACATAAAGTAGTTTCAATTAGTTTTTGTCCAGTTTACTTTAAAATGTTACAGACATCCTTTTCACGATAGCCAGGGCTTAGTTTGATGTAACTTGCCAGAGTGTCTCCCTGGAGTTATTATTTTAGTTGAGTGCAATTTTTACCAACAAAGTGAATTCTTTCCCTTTTTCCAAACATGAGATGTGAGTGAATGTTGGTATTCACCCTCCCCGAATTAATGCTATGGTATGTGCTTTCATATTGGGTTACAAACACAGTTATTTGGATCCAGAGGTAAGTCTAGCTGTAGTGGGGACAGCATGATTTCAAGTCTGGTGGAATTTACACCTTTCTGTAGAAGACAGATGGTTATTCTGGGGGAGGAAAGTTGCACCTGTTTGTTTCCACATCTGCTCTGTAATCCCAAAATTTGTTTTACATAGTCTCAGTACACTGAGTATGCTTACTCATGTGTGAGTTTCATAGTGTTAGCAAATACCTTCAGTTCTAGAGTGCCTTTGATGGTGTTTGAGGCAAATGTCTAGGAGGAGTTAATTACACACAGAGTAACCAGATCTTAGAAAATAAAACTCTCATGAGTAATCTTTGAAAAAATTCAAAGCAGTATATCTGAGCTTACTTCCTTTAAAAATAAAAATAATAAACCAGTAGGTAGTTGGAAAGCTTGTTAGAGTTGTTGAGTTTTGGTGTGAAAACCAGTGGTGGCATGAGTATAAGCACGAAGAGATGTGCTCAGAAGAAATGGTAGTGTTTTACTTGCCAGGTGCTGAAAGAGGGCTGCTCCCTGCACGGGACTGTACAGCTCCATTCAAAGGTGCCCACAGGCATCCCATGTTCAGCCTGGGGAGTTTCCACCTTAAGTCCTTCCTTGGCTTCCTTCCTTTCTGGGGCTTGGTGACCAATTTCTGCAGTGGTTGGAGCAGCTGACTAGAGGTACAGAGATTCTATATCTGTTTGGCTTCAGAGACACCTGTTGGTGCAAAGTGCTCTCTTGTCCCTTTTGAGGGGCTGCCGTCCTCATGGGCTGTGCATTACCTGAGGCAGGGGAGAGTTGGACCAGCAGCCAGTGTCTGGGTCTGGCCCTGAGGCCACTGCCTTGGGAAAGCCCTGCTGTGCTGGAGGTGGGGAGGCAGCAGCTTCTGGAGGGTGATCTTCTCTGATCTCTCTTTACTGACAACAGAAAGATCCCTGGGGTAGGAGCTGTGGCAGCCAGATAGTTTCCTTGAGGCAAATGGGATGGGAATGTTTGTGTTCTCTGGCCCACTCCAGAGAGCCATTCCTGCCTGAAATAGATGCAGTGTCTTAGAGGAGACACAAAGCAGGAAACAATAGCCTGTGACTGTTCTTGCAGATGTGAAAGGAAGGGCCTAAACAAGGAAAAGCTGTGTTTAATTCAGATAGGTGGCTGAGGAGCTGTGTGGCTAGGAGCTGGGGCTCTGTGGTGGTCAGGCAAACTGTCTTCTAAGGGAGCAGGATTGCCCCTGCTTCAGCCTGCCCCTTCGTATCATCTATGTTAATCAAGTCACAGGCAAAACCCCATTGAGTTAAGTGTGGTGAGTCCACTCCCTCTGAGCAGCCAGGATCCAAGATATGGGTACCTGTGGAGCCGTAGGAGGCAGAGGATGCATGGGTTGGTGATGTCTAGACTGGCAGGCTCAGAGCAGGATAAGCTGCTGAGGGCCTTCAGCAGGTGGCTGTGTGTCTGGGACCTCCTCATGGGATGAAAAGAGAATTTACCAGGAACTCTGTCTTTTCCTCCCTTCTCCCCCTCCCTCAGGTGGTCTTTGCTTTGAATCAGACTCTCTTGCAGCAGGAGAGCCTCCGAGCAGGCAGTTTCCAGATCCCCTATACGACAGAAGACCTTATCAAGCATTACAACTGTGGGGACCTCACCTCCATCATCTTCAACCATGACACTTCTCAAGTGAGTCTTGCCACCGCAGCCCTTGTACTACACACATCTCCCTGTAGTGCTAATCCCTGTAACACGTGTGCTCGTCCCTCCTCAGGCAGGCCCTTTCTGGGTGAGGGCCAGGGGCATGTTGCTGGCTCCCTGGCACATCTGCTTTCCCAAGTCTTCTCTTCCAGAAATCTGCACCAACTCAAGCTCTCTCTTGCATGCAAGCACTGAAGGTGGAACTGGCTTTCCCTTTTGGATGAGTGCCGTGTTTGCTGTAGCATCAAAGCTTTATGAGTTAATAATTTACTTTCTTAAGGGTCCTGTGGAATTATACTAACTTAGGTATGAGCAAACTTAATTCCAACAGAGAGTGACAGCAGGCTGTCTTGTCTGAATAGGAACAGAGAAATGCACTTGTGACTTGGACGCCTGTGTAAGGCTGGACAAGTTACAAGGTTTTTCGTGTCTTCTGTCAGTATGGTTGTGTGCTGTGGACAAGGCCCAAAGAAGAGAAATGGTGAAGGAAAAGAGACCTTCTGAGACCTCACAGACTTGGGTTTATGGAGATGGTTTCCTAAGCAGCACAATGGAATGCAACACTGATCTTTAAACCATGAGAAAATTCCCAGCAGGGACCAATTTGGCCTGTTTGGGCTGTTAGACTAACTAACCTCAGGCTGAGACATCAGGCCTCTCTGTTCTTGTTTGTGAGGTATTGCCTGGCAATTTGTGCACATCTGTGAAAACACAAGCTCTGTCCTTAGAGTGCTGAAAGGGCAGGTGAGCCTTCTGCTACCTGAGCTTTCTGTGCTGAATAACCATATTGCTATCACCCTTTGATACATACGGTGCAGAGCTGCAGAGTCAGTCCTTGCTTCTCTGGTGCCAGGCTTTGTGTCTGCTGCTGCCTCTGCTGCATCCTCCTGCAGGTGCAGCCATTCTGGTCATTAATACTGCTTAGCTTTTACACCATGTATTCCATGCAGAGGTTTCAAAGGATTTCTCAGAGGAGAACAGCATTTTAAGAGGATGCAGATGCTGCATCACTATCCTGTGGAGATGTTACAGACTGCAGACATCGCCCCTAGGTCCTTGGAGAGAGAAGCTCTTTCTAAGACATGCATGTTGCCAAGGGAACAACTGTCGTTTACTTAACGTGAGGGGCTCCACCTCAGAGCAGTCCCCTTGGCATCAGAGCTGAATACTGATAGTTTGCAACACTGTCAGTGTATGTTTTAAGCAGAACTTCTAAGTAAGTTGTATTTGACTCCATGCTTGCCCAGTAGATGACTACTGTCATCTGTGGGCTAATTACCCTTTGGAAATATTCCAATGGTCTCCTAGTGGCTCCAAAGTCTCTTCATCTACTGCAGCCTTGGTAGGGAAAGCTCCTGGCTTATTAGTGGCTCTGCTCTCCAGAAATCATCATTTGCAAGCCTTTCAGTTAACTGTCCCCATAACTGAGTGCCTAAAGCTACTTTCAAAAAGCCAGGATTGCTCCAACTGTTGGAGACCCATGTTTACTCTCCACTGGCAAGAGGTCAGGGTAATGTGCAGCCACAGCTGTCCTTGGGGGCCCCAGGGGAGGAAGCCGGCTTTTTAAAAAGATACCGTCATGACAGGGCAACTGGAGGTGGTAACGTGTTCTTTCCTGGAAAAATCTGGCCCTCTTAAAGCTTAGGGATTTTTCTTTTTAACTACTTCAAATAGCACAGTTATTCTTTGGCAGCCTGAGGGCTCTGATAGCAGTCAGATTCTCTTAGAAGAGCATAATTATCATTACAGTTATGTCATACCTATGGCAGTTTAAGAAAGAGGTATGTTGTTGAAGGCAGTTAGGGACAATTACTTATTTTCTTCAACTGAGCAATCAGGATTTAGGATCTTCAGTGTGGCAAAATGATAGTATTTGTTGACTTTGAGTAAAAAAAGAAAAATCCATCTGGCTAGCTTATGAAATGATATTTTGAGAGAAATGAATCACCATGCATCATTAGAAGTTTGTTAAGTAATTTTTTAGCTTGCTTTGGGTTTTGTCCTACTGTTTATGCCTTGAGGGTGAAGTAGTTGCTACACTCTGTGTGGAGCAAAAATTCCTGTGCATGATGGCTGGCTGTGAAATAAATTCCCCTTTCATGAGGACTTTTTTTTTCCTACCTTAGGTCCCAAATTTCATTAATGCTACACTTCCAGCCCATGAACGCATTACTGCCCAAGAAATAGACAGCTACTTCCGGCAGGAGCTCATCTACAAACGGAATGAACGAATGGGCAGGAGGGTGAAGGACCTGCTGGAGGAGCACCCAGACAAGAGTTTCTTCTTTGCTTTTGGAGCTGGTATGTGACTGTGGTCGTGGCTATTCAATGTGAACTCATCCTTCGTCCTTCAGAAATATTTTGCAAATGCTTGCCTCAGTTTAAAGAGGGGTCAGTATTTTTACCATGGTGGAGATGGAACTCAGCTTTTTCCTGACAGCTGAACCTTAGTAAGAAACCATTCAGTGTAGAAGACTGTTTTTCTTCAGTGTGCAAAGAGCTCACAGTGCATATACTTACTGCAATATCTGTTAATTACAGACATATTTGTTGTATGCAGAAAAGATACTACAAAGACACTGCAGTGCATGCACAGGAGGAACAGGTCATAGATAAACACATGTGTTTATTGTCTGGGCAAGAAATGCAAGAGGATAGGAGCAATAGGGAGCTGAGGTGAAAGGCAGCATGTCTGAGGCTGCACCAGTGCTTGAATGAGCTTTTCAAGGACATGTTCAAAAGAAGAATATGCCAAATTGTGTGAATCTAAGGGACGCAGTAAATGCAAGGGAAGAAGCAAAGCCTTTCAGCTTTGCCTTTCATTTCCTGCTGCAGCTCCTTACCTCCTTCACTGGACTTCCACACGAAGTTGTGTCTCCTGCTATTTTGTAGCAGCACAGTGGGCCCAGCTGGGGAAAACCTACTCCATTTTCTGCCTCTTATCTGTCAGCAGGACTCTACAGGCACATCCAGCAGCACATCCAACTCAGTAAGGTTAGCATCTACACTTCAGAGTAGGGCTGGATGGAAGGTATGAACATGATTGTTTTGCCATGATTCCCATCCTTTGTTCTAGCTCCAGGGAAAGGAAGAAGTTGGGATCAGTGTTAGAAAAGACAGGTGCTAATTCCCAGAGAAGTATCGCTTCCCCTCTGCCATAAGCCATATGGCCTTTGGGAAAGTGGGAAAACTGGGACTGGTGTCAGCATCCATGTGTGGTTTTCCAGTCTCAGTGCTGCTTTAGTGAGGATGAAAGATCTAGACAAGGCAAGGAAAATATTTATTTAAACACTAAAAGCATTTGTATTCAGACTCTGTGAGAATTTCTGTACTTTCAGCCGGGAGTTGTGCTTACAAGCTTAGCATAACAAGGACCCAGTGTGTGAGAGCTGGAATGTCAGGAAAGGTGTCTGACCATGTTTGTTCAGATGTGTGTGAAGATTGTAACCTGCAATCTTCCTCTGGTATCACTGCTCTGTGCAACTTGGTGTCACAAAGAGCAGTGAAGCAGGCCCTGGTTGTGTAGGTTCTGGTCATGTCTTTCTGTAGGCTAAGACCAGGGTGTTGCCACACTCCACTGCTGAAGTTCTGACCACATTTGAACCTGCTGCACTGATGTTTCTGTCAAAAGCATATGCCAGCCACAAGTCCAAGCTGAGTCTGTTGCAGGCAGCTACTCTTCCATCAGGAGGCCAGTTGGAGATATCTGGGCTTTGGTTACTGCATCGCAGCTTGAGTGATGAGCAGCCTGTGTAAGCAGACATTTGTGTCATTCTGACATGACCCAGAACCAAGATCCTTTGACAGGAGAAAGCTTCCTTCCCCTCCTTGCACACATTTTAAATCCCAGCTGCTGCAAATCACATGTCTTTAGACAGTTTTGTGACGTTTGTTTCCCCTCCCATCAATGTCTTTCTGTTCCTGCCCTTCTGCCCCAGACTGTCTCCATTGTCACTGGTGTGCACAGCACTGCCCCAGAGTCCAGAAGCACAGCAGGACCAGAACAGATCCCTGTCCTTAATTTATCAGCATTCTTGTTCTCAGCTTTCATGAGAGTACTAAAATCCTTTCCCAGGCTTCCTGTAATCTTGCATTTCTTTTTCCTTTTATTTTCCTGGTTACCCGTTTTCCGTGTCCTTATTGCCAACATTGCTATGCTGTAGCCTTGTGCCTAAATGAATGCCCTTGATCTCCAGCCTATGTGTACATGGCTTGATCTCCAAGCACCCGGTGTGCTCTTTTCATGATTTTCCATCATACTTTTGAACCCAGACAGCTTCCCTGTCTTCTCTGGGGACTTTGGACAGATTTTGAAATTGTCTCTAATTACTCTCTGGCTTTGATACCAGTCTGTCTTCTGTTCTCATCTGCTCTTCCAAATAGTTCTGTTCAAAGGATAGTGCCAGCCTCCAACATTTCCCAGCACAATTCTTGATTATGCCCTTGTTTGACTGCATGAGATTTTTTGGTGGGTTTTTGTTTGTTTGCGTATTTGTTTTGTTTGTTTCATTTGTTTCTTATTAAGCATCTAATCGAGAAGTAGCATCATAGGATATATTGCAGAAAACAGATCAATTTCTACAGATTTCTGAGGTTTCCTGCATGCATATTACAATTATGAATGCAGTCTTTCATTGTTTTCCAGCAAGCTAATTCAGCCTTTTGCTTATGCAGATTGCTGTATGTGATAGATAATTATGTGGAAGAGTTATTTTTATGCCAGCAAGCAGTGAAGATGAACAAATATCTTGTGATCAGTTTTAAGCATTGCTTTGAATTGTACTGCTGTTAATTACTGAGAAAAGGTTCCAAGAAAGTGTTCATACAAGGCAGTTTAGAATGAGCAGCAGGAAAAGAGAAGAAAAAAGTTACAGGAGTGGAAAAAATCATAACTGTTCAAGACATCATGAAAAAATGGTGATTTGCCATTTTCTGACCACCAGTGAAGAAAATATCTCCTAGCAGTAGCTTATAAACTGCAGGACAAGGTTGTATTCAAATGGTTGTAGGATATTTAAGGGTCTCCCAGTTAGAAAAAGGGAGAGAAGATTTTCAGTTGTTTTCTTTCCAGATTTTTTTCCTGTATTTATTTTTTAAAAAGCTAGGCTTTTTGTAAGGAAAGTTCAATTTTTCCATTAACAAAACGCCATTGAAAAAACAACTTTTTATCATCAGTTACATGCATACAAGATCATGGTTTGTGGGTGACTGTGGGATTACATACACCTTCTCTTGTTACTTGAAATACTCTTGGTATTTTTATTTTAAATGGAGGAAAATGAGAAAATACTGATTTATTTTATGTTCTTACTGGATTGATGGGATTTAGAGATGTGTAATACATTGTGCAAAAGTAGTCTCCTGTCTTTTTAGGTTGTGATAGAGCTGCATGGCTACAGACGTTGACTTCTTACATATGTGTGTATTATGTGTGGTAATTTGGGCCATAATCAATTTGATCATTAGATTCAGCCCATTTTATGCCTTTTTAAAAATAAATCAGGAAACTCTCCCTATATTTGGTCAAAAATGCTTCACAGTCAGAGCTAATTTTGTTTGGAAGTAATTTGCACCAAAGTGGAAATCGGTTAAAAAATAACAGATTTTGCTGAAAAGATCCAAAACACTTTGCTTTTGGCTAGAGTGCAAACAAGGAAAATTTCAAGCCACAGTAAGTCTCTTTGAGGGAATTAGAGGAAAGCATGGGAAGAGAGAGCTGGCAATGCCAGCAGCATTCCACTATGTTCGGTAAATATTTATCTTAATTGTGGGCAGGCCTTTACGTATGGCACACCAGGGTTACAAGCTAGGCCTACTCCCTGTTCCCAGTGGTGGAACTTGTGAAGAAAGCCAGAGATAATCTTTCATCAGCAGTCTTCCTTCCATATGCATTTTTAATTTCTCTGAATTCTTGTGTGGCACAGTCAGGATCTGGATGCTAAGCCAGTGTAAGTGATGGCACACGTGATTCTGCAGCTGGCCAGGTAATGCTGTAGGTTTCTGGTTTGTCTAGGAAGGGAACACTGATGTAGTGAGAACTGCATTGTCCTGCTTTACTGCGGAGAGTTTTACCACTTGTCTAAGCTACCAAGTTTTATAAGGGTGCTGCATGCTGGCTAAACCTTCCCAGAGTCAAGGGGTAGTTGATACTGACATAGGGCTCTGGAAATTGTCTGATTCATCCCTCTGCTCAGAGCAGGATCATATAGAGAGCAGTTTTCCTAGGACTGGACTCTCCTTGAGTAATCTCTTCTAGTGTTTTAGCATCACTAAAGATGCTTTTTCTTATGTTTAAGTGGTACTTACTATGTATCAATTTTTGTCCATTGCCTCTTGTCCTTTCACAGGGAAAAGTTCTGCTCAGTCCATTTTGCAACCTCCTATCAGGTATTTATGCATAAGTTATGGCCCCCAAGCCTTCTCTTGTCCAGGCAAAATAGTCTCAGCCTCTCCTAGTACAACATATCTTCTAATTGTTTCATCTTCTTTGTGGCTCTTTGCAGCACTCTCTCCAGTGTGTCTCTTTTGAACTGGGGATCTCACAGCTAGACACTGGATGGACCCAGATATATGTTACCAGGGCTGAGGAGCAGGGAAGAATCACCCCCCTCAGTCTGCTAGCCACACTTCTCCTCACACAGCCCAGGAGGCCATTGGCTGCCTTTGCCACAAGGACACATTGCTGGCTTAAGGCCTACTTGAAGACCACCAAGATGCCACGTATTTTTCTGCCAAACTAGTCTTCAGCCAGTTGATGCTCAGCCTGTTGTGGTGCCTGGAGCTATTCCTGCCCAGGTGCAGAACTTGATTTGCTGAGCTTTATGAACCAAGTTTCCCCTCATCATAAATCCATACTGACCACTCCCAACCATTTGCTTATCCCTGACACACTTGGAAATAGTTTACAGGCTAATTTGCCTCATCACCTCCCCCAGGAACAGAGGTGTGGCTGAGCAGTTTATAATTCCCCAGATCCTTCTTCCTGCCCTTCTTGAAGACAAGAGTTATACTTGCTTTCTTTCAGTCCTCAGGGACCTTCCCCACTTGCCATGACCTTTTGAAGGTAACTGAGAGTGGCTTCTAGTGACATTAAGCAAGCTCACATTTCTCTGGATGCATCCTGTAGGGACTTGAACATGGTTGGTCTATTTGAATGTTCCTTAACCTGATCCTTCTCTACCTGTAGTGTACTTTCTTTGCCCTGGATTTTCCCCCTAGTCATAGGAACTCAAGATTCCTGAAGGCTGGTTTACCACTAAATAAGGGAGCAATGACATTTAATACTCGGCCTTTTCGGCATT